ATATTCTATTCGTACTGTGCTTGATATAATACATTCACGGAAATGTAATATTTTTGCAACTACTGTACAATGCTAATGCCAACACAAGCGTGGTTACAGCGAGACTGACTGAGTGAGGGAGAGCTATGCGTGTGTGTGTGTGAGGTTGCGGGAGCGGGCGGTGTCCCGTGTTCGGTGCCGCGCACGAGTTGAATCACGCGCTATTTGAATGTACAGTCATGCGCCGGTTAACGTCCTAGATACGTTCTTGGAAACGCGACGTTAACCGAAATGGACGTTGTCCGATCATCACATATACTTTTTATTTATACTTAGGTGTATGTGGAATACTATATACGTACATATACACTTTTACTCTTAAATCACTACTGTAATGTGATACAGGTGATTAATTTTTATCTCTTGTGCAAAATACATGACGTTTATATTAAAATTATTCACTGTTTTACAAGGATTCCAGCAACGCCAAGCAGATGGGGGAAAGAGAGGGTGGGAGCGAGCGAAGGGGCGTGGGGGGAGGGGAGGTAGTACGTTTGACAGTTGGCACAGGCCCAGGTCTAACGTGTGTATATTTATCAGTTCTTAGGTGACTAAGCTTCTCTCTTATAAAAAGCCAGTGAAATGACCTGGGTGAATATAATTAACATAGCTGGGATTCTTGTAACATACTGATTAATTTGAATATAAACATGCTATAATGTGCACTAGACAAAACAATTTTAGTACCATAATCAAATTAGTACATGTGCACTCCAGCTTTGCACTAAGAAATCTATGTAAATCTACCCAAAAATACAGTTGAAAAACTTTTTTATAAAATGTACTACAGTACTGTACACTAATGTACAACAATTTTTATCTCTTGAGCAAAATATATGACGTTTATATTCAAATTATTTGCTGTCTTGCAAGGATTCCAGCAATGCAAATTATAATCTCCTAACTTTAGTCTGAGATATTATATAAGATAAAAACTGTAAGCCTAAAAGCCTGGCTGGCGGGGGGGACTAACGGTGCCAGCCACGCCACCCAGCGAGGGGGTGGGAGGGGGGGGTTGAGTTGATAAGTTTGAGGTGAAGATCTCTTGTGTGTTTATTTAACAGTCCTACTAAGCTTCTCTCATTTTAAAAAGCCAGTGATATGACCTAGGAAAATATAATTAACATAGCTGGGATCCTTGTAAGATACTGATTTATTTGAATATAAACATGTTGTAATTCGCACTAGAAATAACAATTTTAGTACCATAATCAAATTAGTACATATGCACTCCAGCTTTGCATTCAGGTCATTTATTTATTTTACGTTTCTTTTAGTATGGTGTGTGCATGTAAATGGATGAAAATAAATGAAGAAATTTATGTAAATCTACCCAAAAGTAGAAAAACTTTTTATAAAATGTACTACAGTATTGTGCACTAATGTACTACATTTTTTATATCCAGCAAAATATATGACGCTTATATTCAAATTAATCTCTGTCTTGCAAGAATTTCAGCAATGCAAATTATATTATCCTAACTTTAGTCTGAGATATTATATAAAATAAAAATAAAGAAATCACCAATCTTTTATCTTGAACACGAGGGTGGTGGGAAGAGGGGGGGGGAGGTGGCTGGAGGTGAGGTGACAGAATGTCTGGCGGCGTTTGTTTGTTTATTTATTTGAGATAAGATTTGACAGTTGGCGCTGAAAGCCTGCCTGGGTGTTTATTTATCATTACTTAAGAGTGACTAAGCTCTTCTCATAATTTGCCACCCAAACGACCTGGGTGAATATAACTTACATTGGAGGGATTCTTGTAAGATAGTAATTTATTTGAATACCTGTATAAACAATCTATATTGTACAGTACAGGTTGGCACTTAAGTCCATTGTTAACCGAAGGACCACTGTATTGCAGTGTACTTGTACTGTAATATTATTCAAATTCACTAGATAAAGTACACAACTAATGGTTGGTAAAACTTGTCAAGTAAGTGAGTGTCAAGTCTGTCAGTATGAGTGGCGTGAGTGCTTGTGTCCCCATCATAGGAGTCCGTTTTTCTCGCTTCAGGACCGTTCTCTCGCTTCAGGACGCCTGAGTCCGTTTTCTCTTAATCTTAGAGTGCAGTGCACCAGAGACTTCATTATTCCTTAGTAATGACACATAATTTGAAATTGCAACCCCAATTTCAACTGGGGTTGCAATTGTTGAGGCAACTAGATATGTCTGATTACAGCAAATGTGTTATTGTCAATTTGTAGGTGAAAGATTTTATCCTCAATAGATGTAGGTTAACATTACACCTGGAGCCACCTAGTACGAAGTCCTCCGTAAACTTCCTGACCTCTCGTATGTCTATGGGAAAGGGTCAGAAGGGGCGTGATTGCTGCCCGTATCATCATTGGGTATGACTTTGCTTGGGAGATTGGTATCCCCGCATCCCCTGAGCAACGCTCTTGTGCATTATGCAGAAGACCCGACAGCCGCCCATATCCACTACCTCCTAAGATGTCCCCACACAGCTTCCGTGATGCCTGCTGAACCACCATTCCACGGGACCCCTGATGGAGAACCACGATGATCCTACCCATACTGGCCAGATATTATGTAAATATCATTGATAATAATGTTCAAAGGAATGTCCTTCCTTCCTTAGGCTTTAGTAAGCCCCTTTATAATATTTATACTGTATATACTTGTGACACTTGCCAGATGCTTCTGGTGTTATTGTACAGGGGTACCTAGTGACAGCACTAGGATCCCGCTTCCTCTATCAAGGAATAAACAATTGAAATTGAAATTACACCTGGAGCCAAATGCTTACTAAAGCCGAAGGAAGGATATTACTGTAACACATAATATCTGGCCAGTACGGGAAGGATCATCTTGTCTCCGTCAGGGTCAGGGGTGGTCCAGCAGGTGTCATTGAAGTTTTTATTTTGAGGGGGGGGGGGCCACGGACGTATATGCGATTGGACGTTGTTATGAGCTAACAGCGCAACTGTATATATATATATATATATATATATATATATATATATATATATATATATATATATATATATATATATATATATATATATATATATATATATATATATATATATATATATATATATATATATATATATATATATATATATATATATATATATATATATATATATATATATGCTAATAACCACAAGGAAAAGAAAGAAAACCACGAAGTTCCCAAAGCGCTTTAGGTATGATTCACATCTTCAGGGGTGAGTACAGACTAGAGAAAGTCATACAAATCCAAGGTGTATATATATGGGAGGGTGAGACCAGGTCCAATGGTCAGGTACCAGGTAACGCACCTAATGCCACACCTTATATTATATATATATATATATATATATATATATATATATATAGGTTAACAACTAATCCGTTCAGAAGGTCGTCGTTAACCAAACGTTAGTTAACAAACCATTGTTTCAATGGGTTTTGGGTATTGGTTCCAGCTCACCAAAATTTCTAACTTCAACAAAATGGCATATATATATATATATATACATACATACATATATACAGATAGACCCCGACTTACGACGGGTTAGGGACTCAAATCTAGGTCAAGTCCGACATGGTCGTAAGTCCGACATACAGATAAAATTTTTTTTTTTTTTTTTTTTTTTTTTTTTTTAAATAAATAATCTACAATGAAATACAGTACAGTAAAAGTAATGAATAATGAGGAATGGATACAGTACAGTGAAAGTAATATATAATAAGGAATGGTTACAGTGTGACTGAGCACTTACCTTTAATGTAGTCAGCTGAATGCACACGGGGCCCCCATAATTTTCTAATGATACATGGAGACTAAATTAACTGGAAACGTTTCGGTATAGAAAATGTGTGTCATTTTGAAAAAAAAAAAAATTTTTAAAAATGGTCACAACTGCGGCGGTCGTAAGTCGAAGCAGTCGTAAGTCGGGGTCTAGCTGTATATATATATGTACACACATTATAGTCTGGGTTGACGCGGTCAATTAAACCCATGGAGGTCCTCGCATAACGCAAAACGCGTAAATAAAATAACAGAACATATGGGATTAATTGAAATAGAGACTAGGCCGACCCCCAGACTACCCTTTTTTCGACACAATACGTACGTTGTAGTAAAAATAACATCTTAATTTTATGATGGTATGCACACACAATTAATATTTAAGAGAAATATCAATAATATTAGGTTTTTAACACTTACGTTAGTAGAAGAGATGGCTGGGCACACGGGGATGGGGGGTTGGTTCCGAGGCAGAGGGCAGATTATTGGCCCTCACCAGTATCACCTATCCACCACAGAGGATAGCGGGGCCTCCTTGTCAAACCCCTCAAAGTCCATATCCTCACTATCACTGACTTGGGCTGGCTGTGATGGGTGAAGAACTCGGTAATGTTTGCTGCTGGGCAGGCAAGGTTAAATAGACCAATCACAGCGCGCGGCAGAGGGGGTACGTGGGTGGTAAGGATACGTGGCCCAATCACAGTCCGCGACGTCATCGGCGTGAGTCTCACATCAGCGGTGACGTCAGCGACCAGCCGCTTGCCGCGTAAATTAAGGAATGTAACGCGTAACTAATAATTGGCGCGTCTGGACAGGTGCCGCATTAATAGCCAAACGAGTATAAAATATCTACGTAAACCCAGACTATTTGTTTCTGATTATTTGTCAGAGGATTTTCCCATTGTTATTTATTTGTATGTGTTTTGTGTACACACATACATACAATAATACTGGTAAAGGAAATTTTTGTTTCTAGATTGAATGGCTTCCTGTCCCGGCTGCAAAAATACCGGCAACTTTAAGACTACCCTTCGAAATTCTTGGGTACATCCAGGGTGTCATCCGCAAATTAAAAATCCACAAATTTGAAGGGCATATTATACCTAGTAAAAATGTAGTTAATTTGTACTAGAATGTCTAGATTTATTTCTGGTTCACGTAGACGAATAACCATGCAATATTTTATTTCATCCTCAGCTCAGTATGGTAGCCAGCAAGCACAGTCTGAGATGGCCAGCTCCCAGCCACTCATATGCACAAAAGATGAGATTACACGTAAGAAAGAGGCAGCTCAACGGTTACGTGAAGAGAAACAGAGAGGACGTAATCAGTTGGGAAGATATCGACCTGTTTATTAATCCTTCATCGTGAACTAAAGAATTTTATTTTCATTTACCAAAGTCATAGTAAATATATTATCCTGTTTTTAATCATATTTACATCATAGTTTTTTTATTTTCATACTGAACAGTACAGGTATCACTCTCTTCATGAACGTTCACAGTACAGGTATCACTCGCTTCATGAACGTTGAGGATACAAAAATTTACTTTACAAATTTCCTAAATCTAACACATGCTTTACCTGCCTATATAAATTTGGACTGTAGCAGAAATTCAAATAGCATGCCCCCAGAAGTCAGCTCGGGCAACCATCGTGGAGAGATGGGCAGAGACGTATTCTCGCTCAGTGATTACAACAAACCCCCAGCCCTTTGTATTTCGTTCTGCCATTCCACACCCCTTTGGTGAGCTCTGACTATGCACCCTTAAGGTAATCACTCCCGCTATTCAGTTCATTTGTTTGAACTCACAGCTCTGGGAGGTGAAGAGCTTATTTAAGAGTTACACTTAACACCAAGTTGAACTCGTCCCTGTAGTCACATCCCTCTTGCTACCAGGTCAATCTACACTATGGTTATTATTCATCTCATAATTTGGGGTAGATAAACTTCCTTTATTATTATTTTTTTTACTCAGTTACATGCACGCACACTCCTACATACATAATATGTACAAATATATATACTGTATATATCATAAGGTCTAAAACATAAAGGAATAAACATGTTTGACAGTTAGCGCCGAAGGTCTAGTGAAGTATTTATTTGTTTATTTATGTTTTTTGCTTATAAAATGTCATAGAAGTGACTGGGGAAAATATAATTTACATTGCTGGAATTCTTATAAGATAGTGATTAATTTGAATATAAATATGCTATAGTTTGTACTAGACAAAAATTTTAGTAATCATTTAGTACATTATTTTGAGTACATTTACAGTACAGCTTTGTTCTTAGGACAGTGTAGCGTGCCTAGAGAAACATTATGCGCAAAATTTTAAATATGATGCATCAGATTGACTCGCGCAAAATAGGAAAGATTCGCTTTAAACTAGAACATTGTCCTTAATTGTGGGTGTCGCTTTAAATCGACGTTCTACTGTATTCTTAACAGTAAATGTGAGGAATAAATGAAAATAATACTTCAGATCCTCCACCAATTTTTTGGCACCCTTGGTTCCAAAGCCTTGCCGGATTATCCGTTTTGCCGGACCAGCTGAGGCCACGTAATAATAATTCAACAATACGCCTCTGACCCACTAATGATATACCTTCTGTATCTCTAAAGCACCATGGAACTGCAAGGAACTTAAATTAAATGAATATTAAATGTGGGAAAGCCATAATTTTGAGCAACATTACTGTACACAGTTTGTACTGAAATGTATTACACTATGTGATGTTTATACTCAAATTAATCACTATCTTACAAGAATTCCAGCAATGCCATTTATATTCTGCTAAGTCTAGTCAGCTACATTTTATAAGATAAAAACTTTAAGCCTGAAACTGCCTTCACCCCTGGCTGGGAGGGAGGGAGGGAGGGAAGTTAAGTGCCCCCTCATAATTTTGTCCGGACTAAAGGAGGTGCCGGATCATCAGTTCCCGGAAAATCGGTGATGTACCTGTAATGGAAAAAAATAAATTAAATATTGCATTGTCATTTATTTCTCCTCCCCTACTGTGTGTGATAACTTCTCTTCATGTAAGAAGTGTTTAGTCCTGAGTTTTTGACCTTATACAGTATATTTTTTCACAAATTCCGTTTGAAAAATTGTATGTGCATGTAACAGTAAAAAAACAAAAAAAGAAGAAAAAGAAGAAAATTACATGTCTAACCCAAAATTACGAGTTGGAAAGTAATCGCTGTTGAGTGCTAACTCTGGCATTTTTCTCTCTCTCTACTGGTTCAGTGAACACCTCTTAGGCATTCCCTTGTAAAGTACTTACTGTATATATACTGTACAGTGAGCCCCTCCCATCACCACATGGCACAACATGAATTATCCTTGCCTTCGCCTGCAGTGTCAGTAAACGTTAATTTTTTTATAAGTTTTCTGATTATGGTAGTTTATTTTGGCCCAAAATTTGGGTATTGGGTTGGGATGAAAGACTTTATAATTTGTAAAAAATAAAAAAAAAAAATAAAAAAAATAAAAGTGAGGGGGGGGGTAAATAATTACTACAGTTTGATAAAAAAATTATGCAAAAAGTAGGGGGTTGAGCTACAGTATATACAGGCAGTTTATGAGTTGTGAGTGCTTCACCTATTTGACTTACTGTGTAGGCTGTTACATTACTGTATATCTGTGATAATATTCCTTATTTTTTGTTTACTTGTTTTTCAGTATTTTATATAAGTTTTGTATTTGTAATAGTAGTAACACAAGACTCATCACAATAGCCATATCCCTTTAGCCCTCTCCCAAACACTCCAGGCCAAGTTGTGACAATGTTATGGTTATTTTTCATCTCTAAATTTTGGCTAGATACAGTGAACCCTCAAAGATCTAGACTAAAAGAGGGAGGACCACCTGTCCAAAAAAAGCCGATTGCCCGGATCTTCTGGCGAATATACAAAATGTATTAAAAACTAAAATAATGAAATAAAAAAATACAGTAGTTTCACTTACTCTATGCAGTGGATGGATGAGTTTGTGTTGCCGTGATAGTGGGGACTCGGAACGACTATCATTCTGAGTTAGAGGAGCAGGGATGCCCTTCGTTTTTTTTTAGTAACTGACACTTGAATATTATTGTAACAACAAAATAAGAGAACAGATAAAAAATATCTTCATTGTGACCCTAAATTTTAAAAGATTGAATTATAACTCGTAAATAGTGTTGTCTCAGGATTTTATGATGTCGCTACAAAACAATGGCTGTGATCAATGGCACTTTGTCAACTTCATTGTAAAATAATTGTATTTTTAAAATTAATTTCTCAATCTATTATCCTTCTGTCATTATACTCAACAGTACTGAGAAAGTAACAAACAACTATTATTCTTTACTTTAACCCTTTAGGTGCATAATTAAATTTCGCGCCGGTTCCTGAAAAGTGTCAATTATCCTGCCAAAAATGAATTTCATATAATCACATTTTCTATATGTTTTTCCTAGAGAACTTTTAGTATATTTTCCAAATCTGGAACAAAAATTCACATATGTGTGCAAATTTTAGAGAAAAAATGACATTTATACCCAAAAATGCAGGAAATTGGTATAAATCAATGTCTGGTATATGGCAAATAAATTATATCAATTTGGTTACTAAACAGCAAATTTAGATATGTATTACATATTCAGATAATATCAAACAAAATAGTACAAAAATAAGCTATATTGCATTCAAGAAATACTCCTATACCTCAATACATAATATGTCCGCATGTCGTCTCATTTGGGGAAGTTTTTTCAAGGCCGTGGGATATCCCCGCTTGTCGCATTTAATTAATATAATATTTTGGGCGGGTTTACCCGCATGTCGCATCCAAAGGGTTAAATGCATAATGCTGTAGTTAATTAGCACAAAGAAGATAAACTGCACAGGGGTACCTAGTGACAGCACTAGGATCCCGCTTCCTCTATCAAGGAATAAACAATTGAAATTGATAAACTACAACTCAGTCTCAAATGTATACACACTACACTGCCCTACATATCTTTGTGAAGATGACATGAAGACTTGTATTACAACAACATTGTCAACAAGTGAGGACAATGTTGCTGTTGTAATACCAACATTAACTCGCTCCACAAAAGTCTGTAAGGCAGGGTGTGTACCTTTATAAGCGACAGCCTTTATACGGTGCTTTTACCCTCTAGTTTTTAGGTAAACCAGAAAATTATATAATCTGGCTCTGTTGAGGTACCAAGTTTGCCAGAATAGTGTATACAAACATAAGACAGACTCATCTACAGCACTTATAGGTCTTGATGAAGAAAGTTCAAGATGCACCATACAGTCATCCCTTGGTGATAGGGCACTTGGTTATCGTCAAAATCTGCACACCTGCTGTTATAGTCCATTTTTCAGTCCGAGAATTTTGTTATCACGCAGTTGCCTCCAGGTTTTTTGTTACCCCCTTGCTTCACCTACATCTATTGAGGATAAAATGTTTCACTTACAAATTGACAATAACACATTTGCTGTAATCAGACATATCTAAGTTGCCTCAACAATTGCAACCCCAGTTGCAATTTCAAATTATGTGTCATTACTAAGGAATAACGAAGTCTCGGGTGCACGCTAAAGTTTAGAGAAAACGGAGGACTCGGGAGTTCTGAAGCGATGAGAAAACGGACTCCTTAGATGGGGGACTAAAATAAAGAAAGCATAGCTACATGTTTTGTGGACTACAGTATTTAGTGTACCCTTTTCATCACTTTGTAATAAACCTAGCCATACCTATGTGTGTTTCTGATACTTAGCTTAACATTATCTATATCTTTAGTGGGTCTAAATGATCATAAAATGGGAAAATTGGGGTTGGGTCTTGGGTGCCTGGAACCAATTTGAATAAATCCCATAGGTTCTGTACTTTTGTTATCGCGTTTTTCGTTATCACACACTTGGCGCTGTCCCAATTAGGCGTGATAACCAAGGAATGACTGTACTGTAGTAAGATGATGTTATAATACTCGTAAAAATGCTTTAATTCTGCATGTGGTATACGATACAAGAATTGAAATGCCTGTACAAATGTAAAAAAAATGAAGAGCGCCTTGTGCAAAAAAGCTGCCTTGCTAATGAGTGGTAAACAACAGTCGGAGCTTAGCGGGCCTTTTGTTTTCAAGCATCAGGAACAGGAGGAAAACTTTCTCAGGTTTCTTACAGCATTTTTGCATCCCTATTCAACATGAGCAAGAAAGCAAGTGATGGTAGTATGGTTTCAAAAGCTAATAGAAAGTGTATAAGCTTAGCCGAGAAACTAGATGTGTTAAAATGATATGAAAAAGGAAAGAGGTCTGTGGATATTATATGGAGCAAGCAATAAACATTTTTTCTGAAGTGGATCCATTAACAGAACAAAGCATTAAAATTTAAATAAAGGCAAATGACCTCTACATAAAGATGTATAATGAGAAAAGAAAGCAACTGTGCAAGGTTCTCTTGACAGCTTTATTATCCGAAGGCCTAAACCATCAACTTCAGCTACACCATCAAATACAGCATTATAAGCAACTTCAACATCAACTTCAGGTTCAGTAACAGCTTTATGGAAAGCTACAGTTTCAGCCAGAGTTGAACCTGATGACTTCGTCATCTGAGTAAAAACTCGCACAATATTCATTGGCTGTCCTTATGTTTTAGACTTTACCACCATTGGTGAGTAGAATTTTTGGTTTATATAAGTAAATATTATTTAAAACATATATGAATAGTAAATAAGTGTTGCTTTCAAATTCATACGTAGAGAAATGACGATATGTTTTCACAGGTACGCACTTACTGTTCATACGTTGGCGTTCCCAATCGTCTTGCTTTATTTCTTTACCATTAGTGGTTAACTAATTCTAGTGTTCCATTTATTAACATTAAATAACATTACAGTGATCTCTCGGTTAACGAGCGCCTCGGTTAACGAAATTTTGGTTAACGAAATACCTTCCATAAGATTCTAAACTTCGGTAAATGAGCAATCCCTCGATTAACGAATTCCTTATGAGCGCCCCTCAACATGTTTTCGCTTGCACACTAGCTGTCATATTAGTCCGCCAATACAGTAATCGGTTCTAGGGCTTAAATTCCTTACTATTTTAGTAAATATCAACAAGTTTGTACTATTCATTCAATTATTTTAAAAGTCTTGTATTAAATTTTTTAGTCATTTTAACAATTATT